TGATTGACCCACGTCTCAGCGAACTTCGTCCTTGGATTGTTTGGCCAGGCGGAAAGTCAATCCTCACCCCCCCCCTCAACTGCGACAGTACGCAGTTAACCCTACGGTTCAATTTAAAGATCGCAAGACGGCTCAAGTGGTCAGAAGGCTCGCGGATCAAGCATCACCCCTGACAAAGGCGACTCTGGGAGAGCGCCCAAGTTACAAGCGATCGAGTGAATAATTTCAACGTGATCCGCACCTACGTTTGACCGGGTGAAGCATTTCCACCCGATCAAAACCTATCCCTGAGACGGTCAAGTTCAGCTTTAGCTCAAGTTCACCAAGAAGAGCGCAACCCGCCCAACCGACGGGTACACAAGGTAAGAAAGAAGACGCAGAACACGGAATCAGGGTACCCCCTCCGTTAGTCGGTCGTCCGTGCGCCAGTGGAGAGTTGGGATCACAATAAAATTGTGATCACCACTCCACCACACTGTTGTTGTTGTAGGTGATTGCGTTGCTGTTGTTGTTTAAGTATCTATTTTCAATGCTACTACTGATTTTGCTGCTGCTGTTGGTGTAGGTGGTGCGGTTGCTGTTGCTCTGTTGACGATAATACTGCTGATGCGGCTGATGTTGATACTGCTGGTGTTGTTTGAGTTGCTGATGCTGCTATTATAGTTGTTTTACTTGTGGGATTGGATTCCCTTCCTGCTTATTAGTTTTGATACTTAAAACACATTAAAATATTAAAGGACTACAATGAATCTAGCCTTTCTATTTAACTCTTATCGATGGCTTCAATTTCTGCAGACCTCGTCTTATGCAGACCTTTTTTAGGGAGGAAATGTGCGATGATGCCTTGAACGTATTCGACAAACTTGGACGTGGGGCGTAATTTTTATTTTCGTAATTAAATGGACCTTTTTTATTTTTTTCGATAAAGAAGAGTAACTATATCAAATGCAGGTATCATCTTAACTTGTATTTGCACATCTACGCTATTCTATTAGCTTCTTATACATGCACATGTACGTGAGGCAACGAGTCATCCAATTACGCTGTCATCAGCGTATGTAATCATTTACTGTCATTTGTATAAGAAATTTTATGGTGGTACCTCAACTCTTCGAAGCGAGAATCAAACATTGATTATCTCGCAGTGAGTTACTACGTTTTTATTGAAGTGAAGAAATTCATATAAAATGTTTATGTTCCCTTTAGATAACGAAGTACGCACTTTGCTTTGTAGAAAACTACGTTGTACAAGCGTCTGTGGCAGACTCAGACATCTTACCAAGATGATGATGTACGGCCTAGCACACGGTACTGCGTACTGTAGTTCATTATGCACTAAACGACAAATTGAAGTCATGTGATCCTAGTGTGTCAGCGTATGGTAAAATATATTCATACTTAAAGAAAGAACGGATGAACTCTTTGTGAATATTGCTTTCTATTCCAGGTACAATTTTAGCTTCTTGTTTTGCAGCATTCAAAGTGCAGTAAACACAATACAACTACATTGCAAACACCACGAGAAGCTTTGTCTTGTGTTAATACGATCATTATATCAGAATAGCGTTTTTTTAGCGACGTGCAATTTCTTGCGTGTCCACAAGCATCCGCGTATCCACATGAACTAGCACAACTTTATGTCATCTCCCCACTATCTTGTCTCATCTTAAAAGAGTCTATGTGTGCGTCGACTCAAGTTAACCTATGTCGTGCCATATAAATATGGGTATAGCATTGTTTACGCGTCTCTTTGACTCCGCGCTGCATTTAACTTACGAACTTCAGGGTTAAGCCATATAATTTGTCTTTACCTTAGTACGGTACCAAACCAGTACGATTTGAGCATGACAGATCATCAACATGACCCTACAATTGAACGGCAAATAGTATTGTCGAATCACGCTTTGAGTATCGATGCACCAATACTTTTTGCAATATCAATGTCAGCGAAAAGATATATAAATCGACAAAAAAATAAAGAATTAGTGGAAATGAAGTCTTATTTTAAGACTCCTATATTAACTTTCATATTATATATTTTTCAAACAATTAGTCAAGGGGGCCTTTTTTCACCAATCACTTTTTGCTTATCATCAAAATCAACCTCCATTATAAACTTATTGTACTTGGGTAATTAAATTATTACCAATAATCAACACTTCTAAATCTCGCTCGCGGTTAAACGAATGCTCTTTATTTTACACAGACTTTGACATTAAGAACACCACTTAAATCAGGATGGATCTTTCGTTCCACACTTGGTAGTTGGTGAAGTCTCCCCGTCATAAGGTAATGTGAGGTGCACCACTTCAATTGCAGTAGATTTAATCGCATCCAAGAAAAGTTGCAGAGGGAACCTCGTGCAGGCAGCGAGTTATTCTTGACCATCTAGAGGTGCTACCGGCAGAGGAGGGCTTAGGTCCATTTGTCCAGCGTATACGCGGGATTTCTGTTTATGCTCTTGGGCACCTATCGCTGAGACACCCATTGCAGGGTATAAGTCATTTGGATCCATCGTAGTTTCAAGTGAAAACAAATTCTTTGCGTCCTATACGTCGAAGCGGTAACTGTGGAGAAGCACGACACAGCAGAAGAAGAATTTGGAACTTCTTTTCTACTCCCGCAGTGACTCCATTGGGAACTTTTTATGCTTCGGGTGCTATAGACGAAAAATAAGCTATATGGATGCTTAGTAAAATTTAGTAAGCATTACCTGGACATGGTAGTGCTTGTAGAGAGTCAACCATAATAATGTAGAAACTGTAAAGCGTTTAAACGCTTGTACGCTTTTCATCAAAAATTATGAATTCGCGATAAAATTGCGCTTCTAGTTAATTATTTTTATTATATCACATTTCGCCAAATTACAGCGCGACAGAGGTAAACCTTTTATTTGAAATGAAGGTAAGTGGAGGTTAGCGAAAAGTGGATGGTGATTAGCGTCTTCCTACGATTATAGTCAGATATACCACCAGTTGCTGGCATCGCTGATTAAAAAGATACTAAGCTTTCGACATTATATATGTTTGTTATGGAAGGCATTAGGAATAAACCAGCTGAAAGTTGATAGAATGATTTGATGAGGACTGTAACGGGGCACCGACAACTACGTACTGGTCAACCAGTACGGAGTTTACTATCACTGACTGTAGTGATAGTCAGTGCCCAGCTAGGTGTAGAACTACACAGAGGAAGGTAGAACGACTAAGGTGAAAGACTAGTCGTAGAAAAAGTAAAACTGTTATTAGTGTAATTAAGTCCTATAACTCTTGTATCTCTGTTTGTCTTGACTTAGTTATACTAATGTAACTATATGTATGGTGACGTCTACTCACCACCCATTGCGCGCGGATAGCAGCAATTAATTGGTTGATATCATCACGATATCAACCAAAGAGTAGACCCTTCGGTCATCTTCAACAATATCATCATGCTCTGTGATATTGTTGAAAGAATATTCAACGTAATATTCTTTATTGTCATTTTATCCTTAATGACAATATCATGTAACGGGCTAGCCCGTCACAACCGTAGCCCATTTTACCAGTGCCGTTTGAGATTAATTTGGGTTGTCGTATTGTGTCTGCATGTTTGCAGATGTAGTTCATTGGTAAGACGGATCTGCGACATTTTATACTGCTCAGATAGCACATTAACAGGTGTATATATGTGGCTTTCTCTCTGTAATAATTGTTAGCTGAGACCCAAAAAAAGCTGTGGGTGCGTCTCATATTGTTGGGAAGGTAGCAGACTAACCAGGAGTTTAATGGTGCACGCTCTTGCTTAGATAACTGAGCAAGGTCTTGTATTGATAACAATACAAGGGTGCGTACGCCAGACGTCACGTACACGTGGCGTGAGGAAGCGCGACCAAGACAATAAAGAACCCGAAAGCTTTGTCTTGAGGAAAAAGTAGAACTGTTAAATAATATAGTTTCTTTCTTACTAAATCATCTTTCGTCTTAATCGAACTATATTAAACTACTGTCTCCTGTACGGGGCTTCTGTCCACCACCCATTGCGCGCGTCCAGCAGCGATTGGTGGGTAATTTGATTGATGAACACGGTACATCAACCAAGAAGTGGACCCCTCCACGGATTTTACCCTTAGGGGTAATATTTCGACAAGATCGCTTTTCTCGAGTAATGTTGATTGAATATTATCCAAATAGATAATATTCAAGATTGGTACTTTTGTACCAGATTTTATGTATGTATGTCACTCCGTCTCAAGGTGCTTGACAACCGACCCCAGTGGGCGAGTGGTAGACCATTGGAGCTGGGACCGGGTGGTACCTGGATCGACATCCTGGAGGGGGGTTCGATAACAAGGCGCCGGAGATAGGCAAATAAAGTATGACGAGCAACCACCCACTGGGTGGCCGCCCTGCCAACCCGCACCGAAGGGTGTGTGATAGTTGGGTTGGCTGGAGGCCCTACTAGCCGAAAAGCCCCAGTGTAATGAGGGGTGTGGGCCCCTGGCGAGTTCAAACCGAGCCGCGGTACTCGCAGTTCACCCCCGGGAGGTGTGAGGGGTCACACGGCATAAATCTCAAATAGCCTGACACTTTTGTTCTGTTCCAGCAGTGAAAGCCTTAGGGATGGATTTTGGCTTGTACTTAAGGGAAGTGGGGGGTTGGGTGCCCAGGTCCGCTTTTTTGATGACTCAATTGATTGATTCTCCTTATGTACGATCCACAAAACCCAACAAGTTATAACCTCTTTTAAGTTTTGGTGATTGTCGTCCACCGTACCCATAACTTATCGGAGGGAAGTCTATAGACTCCTTTTCATGGACACAGCTGATGTCATTAAATCGCTTATAATGCTCGCGAAAAGTGTCACTCTTCACTTGTGAAAGGCCTCGTCACTCGGTTTCCCCAGCAACTGCCTCTTTTGATGTTGACAAACTCGCGGGGGTAAATCTTTTATACAACAAACAATCTTCTCTTCCGATTGGCCATCGTTTATCATAACCAAAAGCGCATTTCGGTTCGACAATGGCAACAAATCTGTGGCTCGCGGGTGCGCTGCTCGCCAGCGTCGTCTCTATTGTCGTACGTCCGTGCGGCACATATCTACCCAGGACATTGCTTTCAAACGTACTAACGAATATGTTGTCGCAGTCGTTCGTAGTGACCAAGCTCCGTGCTCCAGGCTTTCACGTCGAAGGTAAGCACGTGTTCATTACTGGTGGAAGCTCTGGCTTGGGACTAGCGCTGGCCAAGAAGTATGCACGACAGGGGGCCAAGGTATCTATCGTAGCGCGTGGCCTAGAAGCGCTGGAGCAATCCAAGACCGACATCGAGCGTGTGTGCAAGCACGCGGACGCCAGAGTGTTTATCCAGTCGTGCGACGTCGCCGACTTTGCCAGTGTTCTGAAGGCAGTGGATGCTGCCAACAAGTTTCACGGCCGTGCGACTGACCACGTCGTGTGCTCGGCAGGTTACGCTGTTCCTGGTTACATCGTGGACCAGGACGTGAGTCTGCATCGAAAGATAATGGACGTTAACTATTTTGGTGCGCTGCATGTCATCAAGGCGGCTTTGCCAGCTATGATGCAGTGCTCGGAAAACGAAGGAAATGCCGGGCACATTGTCCTCATTAGTTCTGGACTTGGACTCATTTCTTGGGTTGGCTACTCGCAGTATTCTGCTTCCAAGTACGCACTACGTGGACTGGCCGAGTCGTTGCGGAACGAGCTCAAGCTATACGGAATCCGCGTGAGTATTTTCTATCCTGGCAATATTGACTCGCCTGGGTACGTGGTGGAAAATCTTACCAAGCCAGCTGAGACCAAAGAAATCGAAGGTGTGAGTGCACTTGTTCCGCCGGAAGACGTGGCACAGTCCCTGATCGACGGAATGAGCGACGGCCACTTCAGCATCACGAACGATATCATGATCTTCTTCCTGCGTATTCTCGGTAACGGTGTTGCGCCGCGGTACAACACGATGCTGGAGACTGTGATGCTGCCGCTGCTTATTCCCATCCAGGTCGGTTTCGGTGTTTTCATGGACTTCACCGTTTGGAGAACCAAGAGTGCCCGCGAGTGTAAGCCCAAGCTCGAATAAGACAATGGGGCCACGCCTTGGAAGAAAGAGAGCAAAGAGACAGGAAGGTTGCTTAAGTACGCAGTGGTGTCTACTTTGTGTTATCTCTCATCGCATTACCTGTCAGGACTGTCCTGTCCTGAGCTAGCCAGCAAGCCTCTATTCTTTCCACGAAATAATACTACACCTCGACACGGGTGTGCTGCGCTTATCCCCTGCGTTTGCTGAGACGCCAAGAATCAGGCGGGTTGAAGCGGTCATACAGCGGCTCGATCTTCTCGTTGCGCTTGCGCTTCGAGAGTTTGGTAGGATCCCCCTTCTTGAAAAAGGCTGGAGCTAGTTCCACCAGCCATTTTGGTTCTATTGTCATGATGTTGCGCATGTACTCCTTCGTCGTGAGTACGAGCTCATGATAAAGCACCCACTCAGGGCTCTTGTTAAACAACGCACTCGATGGATGAATGTACACGGGCTGACCCTCCACCATGGTGCGATATCCTTCTTGTGGGTCCTTCTTTGCTGTGTTAGCAAAGTAACCTGCAACAATCGCACGCCGAACTTTGTTAAAGTTCTTGCCACAAGAAAGAACATCCATTTTGTATCGGTCTAGAATTGACAGCAACTGCTTGCGCACATCTTGAGCACGACGAATAGCCCGCGCTTGGATGAAGTTTTCGTAGCACCATGGGTTCGAGAATTTGGAATTCGCCCAAGCCTCATACACAGCCAGTAAGGTCAAGTGGTCACCCTCAGGCTGATGGAACTTGGCTTTCTTCTGGTCAGCCTGCGCCTGCTTTTCTTTTGGCCGGAAAAAGACCGACTCCACTGACATCATCGCCACAATAGTCAACACTTCCTCCGCGCAACCAAGCACCACAGAAGTTAGCAGCACTTTTGCATTTTTCGGCTCCACAGGAAACTCAGCCATCTTCTTTCCAAGTCGCGTCAACAAACCTTCGTCATCGAGAGCGCCCAGAGCATACAAGTTCTCTAGCGCCATGACAAGGGCATCTTGAGGCGGTGGATCCATGAAATCGAAAGCCATCAAATCGTTAATACTCATTGCCTTCAACTGTAGCACAACCGAACCAAGATTCGCACGCTGAATTTCAGGCACAGTCGTGGACAGCATCTCGTTCTTGTAAGCATTCTCCGTGTACAGTCGGTAGCATTTGCCTGGGCCAGTGCGTCCAGCACGCCCGGCTCGTTGGCGAGCTGAAGCTTGTGAGCAGGGCACAACCACCAGAGAATCCATTCCGATTTTAGAGTTGAACGCATTCTGCTTGCAAAAACCAGGATCCACGACATAATAAATGCCATCGATCGTCAGTGATGCCTCTGCAATATTGGTAGCCACCACACACTTCCGAGAGCCCTTAGGCGCTGGTTCAAAAATGCGCGACTGCATCTCGGAAGGTAACGCGCCATACACCGGAAGTATGATAAGCTCTGGCGCCAATGCACGCTCCTGTAATGCTTTTATACGCTGGTACAGCACTTCGCAAGCTGTATCGATCTCTTCTTGGCCAGTCAAGAATAGCAATATGTCTCCCTCCGGCTCGGATAAGTGGATTTGCATGACACAAAGAAGCGAAGCGTCCAAGTAGTCGAGCTCCGGTTCCTTGGTATACAAAATCTCGACAGGAAACGTACGTCCTGGAATCGTAAAAATCGGACAGTCAAAGAAATATCGAGAAAACTTCTCGGCATCTAGTGTTGCCGAAGTCACAATAAGTTTCAAGTCCTTTCGCTTGCGCCCAAGATCTTTCAGTAAACCAAAAAGAACATCAGTGTTGATTGTTCGCTCGTGAGCTTCATCAAGCATCAGTGCGCTGTACTTCGATAACGTAGGATCGGCCAGGTACTCTCGCAAAAGCATACCTTCAGTCATGTACTTGATCACTGTTTCTGGAGTCGTGACGTCCTCAAACCGCATCGAGTAGCCCACTTCTTGGCCCAATTCGCAGCCAAACTCCTCCGCCACACGTTTTGCCACAGATGAGGCCGCTACACGACGCGGCTGTGTGCATCCAATGATACCAGTGGAAGTCAATCCCATTTCTGCCATGTATTGAGTCATTTGCGTGGTTTTGCCGGACCCAGTTTCTCCAATGACTACAAGAAACTGATTATCGGCGATCGCCTTCATCAATTGACGCTTGAGTCTGAAGACCGGAAGACTCTCGCGCTGTTCTAGTATTGACTTGTTCGACACAATGCCGTATGAAAGGTTTTTACCCACCGACTTTTGCTTCCATTCAGGTAGCTCAAATGTCACACCCATATTGATACCACGCAATTCCTGAGCAAAATGACGCTCACCAGCATCTGGCATTGGATCTTCCCAGGGACGGTTAAGGTCCTTCGGAATGGAGTCAATAAGTTGATTTGCCTGTGTCTGCCGGAGCTCGCGACGCTCCTTTGCCAAGTTTGACTGAGTCATTGCCGCACGCTGCATCGATCCATCCGGGTTCTTTACAATCTTGACGGGTGACAAATCGCGGCTCATGTGAGTTTGGCCTCGCAGGAATACTGGCTCATCTTCGTTGAGCTCGACCTCAAAGTCCTCCTCTGTAGCTTCGGTGTTTAGCAGGCCATGCTCGTCATCGAAGGTAGGATAGTCTTCAACTGACAACACGCCAGAGTTTATAAGCTGTTGCACCTCCCATCGCTCAGGTGACGACATGCGCTTAGCAGCACGCTGTGGCTTGCCGTCATCATCATCAATCTGGTGCGATTTCTGCATACCAGGTGCAGAAGGGTTTATCCACGAGCGCGGATCCAACGACTTGTTCTCCTCGCGCGCTCTCTCGATGCCGCTGATCGAGCGCTGGGGCAACAAATCCTGCCCCGTCTTTTGGTCCACATCGCGCATCGATAACGACAGCTTGGGCCCCGATATCGATATCAGTTTCACTTTCACGCGATCGCCGCGCTGAACAAACTCCTTTACATTGCTCACACGGTTTGACGATAAGTTGGACACGTGCACAAGCCCTTCTTTCTTCTCTTTTCCACAACCAACAAGTTCAACAAACACGCCAAATTCCATGACTTTAGCCACACGACCGTCATAAATGCCATACAGCTCCACGATCTTTGCACGCTGCTCGTCTTTTCCACGTCGATCGTCGTCACGAGCTCGACGAGTACTTTGCGAAAGAGACGGTCCGTAACGTCCATCACGCTGCTCACGTCCACGACTTCGACTTCTGTCGTGGTCCCGCCGACCACTTCTTCTGTCTTCTGACCTAGATCGTCTACTTTTTCGGTCGCGACCGTCTATCCGTCCACGACTTCTATCACGCCCGTAACGGTCGCGCGCCCTTCTCAGGTCCCCGGACGATCGGTCATCATTTTCAATGCCACGATGACGAGGCGAGTGTCTTTGTTGATCTACACTCGCTTTTCTTTCGTCGCCACCGTCTTCCACTGCTGCTCCTGCAATATCCAACGCCGTGAGCCGCTCGTCGTCTCGAATCTCGTGTCTTGTGGTCGTCTTGATCTTGCCGTCTTTAACCTCTGATGGCTTCATCCGTTGCGGCGCCATCGTCTGTACAATGCGAAAGAGATTCTCTGCCAGCGCGCGCGGCAGCGGCAGCTCGTCCTCTTTGATGGACGCCAGAAAACCGGCACAGTCGCTGCTGCTGCGCACGAGGTCAATGACAAACTCGGCCAGCGTCTTGTCGCTCATGCCCAAGTGATTCTCCAGCGCCTGACATACTTTGGACACGAGACTGAGCTCCTGCAGCTTGTCCATGAGTGATCGATTGATCGATCGGTCTCGGGAGATTCCGTGCGAAACGTGCGCTAGAGTTGTGTACCGCCTGTGTGGTCGGTCCGAAGGGAGGCGCGTCGCAAAGGGATCAACTGTGGTTCGACAGCTAGTCTTTGAACCAATCAGGGGCGGTTGCAGCTTCGCCAGCTTTCCCATTGGCTACTATTGTGCATCTGCGTGCGTGCGTGCGTCTTGACAATCCATCTTGCCGTCGTACTTGCAGCGAGTAACGGACAGCTCGACTGGCCTCGTTCCAGTAGTCCAATGGATGCGCAGCCAGGCGAGACCGACACGTACATCAACGCAGCAGAAGCGAAACGTATACACCATTGTGAGACCGTGCTGCCTCTTTTACCGGTTCGTTCGAGCTCCAACAGGACTTCGACCGCGGCAGGAGGCGTCTCGACCGTCACGACTCGCGGTCCCGAAGCTGCAGCGCCTCTCGCGCCGTCGTCCGTGTCTTTGAAGGACCAATGGCAGCAGAAACGCCACGTGTGTGAGAGGTTGGATTGTGGCAAGAGCTTTGATTCCAAGTGGGCCCTTATTAGGTGCGTTTCTTCATGCACCGTGAACGGTGATGCAAGTCGTAGAAGGAATACGCACGAGAGAGGATTAACGTGGACTGCTGTGCATATGTAAGACACATTCGAGTTCACACGGGCGAGAAGCCATTTCCATGCACGTATCCATCGTGCGACAAGTCGTTTGCCGAGAAATCTGCGATGACGCGGTACGCTGTGGATAGATTCCAGAGTGGATCTTGAGGGGTCGTTGACTTACAATGTGTTTCGGCGGACAGTCACTTGCAGACACATTCGCGCGATAAGCCATACAAGTGCACGTACGCTGACTGTACCAAGAGCTTTAAGGGCAAGGACTATTTAGAGTTCCACCTCAAGATCCACGCTGAAGGCAATCCGTATGCGTGCGACCACCCCATGTGTTCCAAAACGTTTTGTAGCCCGAAGAGTCTAAAGAAACATATCAGGTTGTGGCACAACCCTGGCGGCAAAAGTACTTCGATGGAGCAGCAGCTTCGGGAACGCATCATCAAGATGGCGACTCGCAGCAAGGAGAAGACGCGCAAGTTTGAGTCGACGATTCGGTCTCTAATGGAGGAGAACGAGGCACTAAAGCGAAAGATATTTGACCTTGAGAGTTGCCAACAGCGATTGTGACGAAGCGCAGCACTCGTGTCGTACTTGTTTGGCCGATTGAGTCCCTTGTATGGACATGCGTATGGATGATTTATAGTGGAGACAAAGATGCTCGAGGCCAGGAGAAGCAGCACATGACGAATAGTAGACGTGATGGCGGCGATCGGTCCGAAATACCTGGCGTTCCGCGAGAAAGCTAGAAACAGGGCGGTTTCAACTCTTTTAACACGAACTCGTAGTCCAATCCATCTGCTCTCACGACCCCAGGCGCACAGGCAATGCGAGCCCACTGAGAGCAGCATACTGCTGTTCTGCACGTTCTAAGACGTGGAGGCTTCATTTCCGTATTGAATAAACTACGTGAGAGAAGAAACGAAGGAGACGTGCCAACAGCTGCACATGCAGGACGATCGTCTGTGGCTACATGCCTCGCGGCTTCGGCCCACCTGCCGCCTTTGCCATGATGATTTGGTCCACACGCAACACCGTGATGGCAGCATCGGCACCGAGGCGAATAGCAGACACCTTCGTCTGAAGGTGGTCCCAGATACCCTTGTCAAGGGCGTCCGAGATAACATGCGATTTTTGCTCGTTCTGTAATATTTCAAATACACGACAACAAAAGTAAGCGTTCGAAGCACAACGACATCAACCAATAGATCAGGTAAAATACGACGTACGTCCACATCCACACCAGCACTAACATTGCCTGCTGCGTGAGCAGCGTACAGGCTCGAGATAACCTCAGTCGCCATTTGGCCCGAGTTCTCGGCAAGAATTCGTGGCACCACCTCGATCGCGTCACCAAACTTCTTGATGGCATACTGATCAAGACCCGGCGTAGCCTCACCAAAGCTCTTTATCTGGCGAGACAGCTCAATCTCAGCAGAGCCGGCACCAGCGACAAATCGGCCGTCCTTACACACAGACTTTACGCAATTTACACCATCATCAATGGCACGTTCAATGTCGTTCAGCACATTGTCCGTGCTAGCACGCAGCACAATGGTTGAAATCTTTGCATCTTCCTGGTCCTGCTGAAAGACAGTGACTTTTTTGCCGCCAATCTCCTTGACCATCACACTGTCACAACATCCCATCTCATCGGGTGTTGGCGCGCCTAGACGCACTAGAGCATTTGCGTTCACAGCACGGCAAAGACGACGCAATTCCCATTTAGACTGAATCTTGACCGCCATCAAATTGTACTTTTCCAGAAAATGCAGAGCCATCTCGCTGATGCTTCCACCCGAGACAACAACCGTCGCACCTGACTCACTGATACCGCGGACAGCTTCCTCCAGGTGTTTTTCTTCGCCTTTATTGTAGTTCATGAGTTCATCCGCGTCCTTAATAAGCACCGTGCTCTTGGCCTCTGTTGACGAGATCTCAATACCGCAGCCATACACAGCAACTTTAGCGTTCAGCGCCTTCTTCACAAAGCCCTCCGTGTCGCGCTGGATGACTAGTCCACGGATGACCGTCGAGTCGTGCAAGTTGCCTCCCATGATCTTCGCCACGCGGATATTGTCCACATTAATCGACGGTTTCTTCGGCGCTGCAGGCATCACGTTCAGACAAGCTTCAGCCACAAGACGCGCCAGCAAGTCTTCGTATCCATACTGTTTCGAGGCCAAAGACGTCTTAATGGCCTTTTCTAGCGCCTCGCGGTCGCGCGGGTTCTCCACCTCCACTGTCTGCAGCTGCTGCAAAATCTCTTGACACTTGTCGTGCGCTTTCTGGTACCCAGTTACGATCTCGCTCGCGTGCAGTCCCATGCGCAACAGACTCGCGGCTTCCATCAGCAGTTCGCCAGCCAGAGCCACCACGAGACAAGTGCCGTCGCCAAAGTCGTTCTCCTGCATTTTGGCAGCCATTACGACCATACGGGCAGCGGGGTGGATGACATCGAGCTCTTTGACGATCGTCGCTGTGTCGCTTGTCACGAAAATGCGCTCCAAGTGGTTAATCACGAGCTTGTTCATACCGTTCGGACCGAGGGACGACCGCGTGATCGCCGCGAGCTGCTTGACAGCGTCAATGTTCTTAGCCACGGCCTCATCGACGCCCTCAAAGTGTTTGTGGCCGTCTTTAAGTAAAGACGAGAGGCCGCCGGCCACGTTTAGTCCCATTGACTTGGACATGATGGTGGTGGTGGACGTGCGGTTGGGCGCGTGCGGTCGATTTGGTTCTTGACTGGTTGAAAAGATTCCCCTAGTATTGAGGCGGTTGTAAGCGGATAGAAACGATGGGCCTGCGACGAAGCGGTGTCGAACTAAGGAGGTTACACGTTCAATAGAAATGAATCTTGCGGAATCGTTATCGATGTTGCTAATTGAGTTTTCTTGTACATTCAAGACTTTAGTGTAATTAACGTGGAGTACTTAATTTTCTGGTAAACATCAACGATTGAAACGCAGAGGTACGTATAATTCACCCAAACATGCAAGTTGTCGAAGGAGTAATTAGTGCCCTTATCGAAATCTGAGTCCTTCCGCCAATTCTCTTCTCTTTCCCGATGCTAGAAGAAAAATCAACGATTGTAAGCCAATGCTAATGGCGCGAATAACAAAGCGCTCATTACGGGTAAAAACACATGCCATGGTCCACAGTGTCGATTTACCGAATGTGGACTGCATACGACCACATTTTGTAGGAAACGTATCTACGAATGGCTGAATTAAATATTACAAACACACAGAACCATAATGCTCTACGCTTACTGCTTCAAGGTCAAATTTGATGTGACATTTGTTAGCAATAAACAAACCAAGCAGAACACTAATTTCAATCGGCGCCCTCACGGTTCGACTACGGAAGTTAAGTATGTCTAGTGAGCGAGTAATACATTTATGCTTCGTCTAAGCTTATAGTCTGCAAACCTTCTGTGTTGTCAGACGATAGCATGGCGTAGTCACAGCATCATTTCACTGCTGATTCCCCTCTATATTACGTCTCAAAGTAGAGCCCCAACAGCATCGTAACTGGTATGGCGCGTGTTTAATGAAAATCTGATTTCTTTACAGTGCTTGCCATACAACTACTAGAAAATAGAAGTGACAAAGCTTATACGTGTAGCCGTTTCGATCTAGACGTAGTTGCCCCTCCTCCTTCCTGTCACCTTGGCTAAAGCAGCGAATATTAAATCGAGAAAGTGCAAGCTAATAGGAACTCCCCTCTATTATCGTAAGCTTCTTCCAATTTTTATAAGTCGCTGGTCCTATATGTATACAATGGGAGAATGAGCAATCTTAACTAGGTCATCGGATATCGCATTGACACGTTTAGAATTTAAATGAATCGTCAATCATGAGATCAAGTTCGCTACGAAACGCTAGACTATATCCTCCACCCTTGAGACCTTCGTACACAATAACATCAAGATGCAGTCTAAACATGAACGTACGAATACTCGGTGCGTAAGCATCCCTTACAAATTAGGTGCATCGTAGATACAAAGGTATTTGCAAAGACAAGTACGTCTACTTTTGCGCAATCTCCGGGATATCAACGCCATATCAATGTTACGAGGTCGAATAGTCTGTTGACATACTCTCGTTTAAAAGCACCCCGCGTGAGTCGGATGAGAGGAATTTTAGCTAATTGAGCCTTTCCAATTAATTAAATAATTTAGACACGCAGTTGGCCGCTTTGTTGAAATTAAGGTGAGATTATAAAGGCGTATATGTGACTGATGTAATTATGTGATCTTCGTAAATTATGGATATGGATGACAACGCACCGAAGGGACAAGGGGCAACCATAGGGAAAGGTACACAAGGAGAAGGGGGCCACGAAGGCGACGAGACCCTCGGAGGAAAGGTCTCGCAGAACCTAACGAGTATAAATTATTACCAGGGTACCGGTAAATCGGTACTAAAAGCAGTAGACCACCGCCTTTTATCTGAAGGTCCGGTCCCTAAACGTAAACCTCGCTCCCTCTTTGGTGGACGCGGTCCTTCATTGTTCTACCTTGGCCCCTCGGATTAGACCTCCGTCCCTCATCGCAATACCCTCAGTCTCTCGGGGTGGCCTCATTTCCTTATCGGTGGACCCGTTCTCTTGAGGCCCGGCTACTACAGACCAGTCATACAAAGATTCGAACCATATGGCAAAGATAGAGTAAAGGAGTTGAATGATAATACTGTATTGAATACTCCTCAAATTGAGATCCACGTGGCACGTCTTTCAATTTAAAGGAATTTGCACTCGGTATGCACGCCTGTTCCGGGGAAAGAATATGCTTTGCCCCCCTTTTAAGACCGTTGCGTATAAAGACGAAGCGCGAGTCGATCCCTAGAAAGTCTTTGGTCTGTGGTGGCCTCCTGACCAAGTGTTTAGGGAGTAAGGTATAGGCAAGATAATTCATACCCCTGTCACAACAAGGAAAGGTCCAGGAGCAACAACCTCCGAAAGGGTTTAAAAAGAGCATCAGTCTCGATCAAGTCAATCAGTTGTCCACCCACTGGCCCACCGAGTGAAGCATATTCGCTTGGGGTGTAGCGGAGCTACACAGCTCCTTAAGTCAGAGGAAGACTTAACGCTCTTACGAGCAACTTTGGTTCTACGAACCCGACTCAGAGAGTCAACAAGCTCAGAGAGCTTACGGTCCCCGTTCCTAAGGGACCAAACGATTCAAAAGAATCACAGCACAGAGTGCTCAGGAGTAGCTACCTTCACAGGTATTGCTAGCTCCTATCGATCAAAGACGCCTCGTAAGGCACGTGTCTCTTATTGATCAAAAGGGGAACTGAGTTTTATTTCTTTGATTAACCTAAAAGAACACCTTAGAACAACGTATATAACCTGCCCTTAATAACTTCTTAAAAGATCTCGCAATCAATTGATGACAGACATCAGTCTTCAACAATTGATACACTCAATGTGTTCTAAAATTACTTTATAGGGTACCCCCTCTCTTGTGTGCACCACGCCTATCGTCGACTACCAGCCGACGTGTAACCCCGTTACATGGGGGCCTTCAGATCAAACTCTATCAGGACTAAGGCCAACATCTACACCCAAGTTCACCGAAGTGTGCAACCTGCCATCCTACAAGTACACAAGGTGAGTCAAGGTCAATAGGCAGCGTCAAGGTACCCCTACTATAAGTCGGCAGCTCGGTACAGTGAGTGGTTGAAGGTCTCTCAATCTGTTTTAAGAATATACTTCACCGCAATGATGTATGTACCTCTCGCATCACTACAACTCATGACCCTAAAGTATTTGGGCTTTTATCTGCTTGAGTTTTGGCCATAATTTTTAATTTATAAGTGAGTTAATATTTACACACATTACCACAAGTAATGTCAATGGGAATATCTTTTGTTGAATGGTGGTGCGCGCACATGGGTGCGCTTATCATATGTGATTGTGACGCATGATTTAGGACATTATTTAGTTGACAGTCGCAGTTTAATTTCTTCATTGACAGTTAGATGATGGTCTATCAACGAGAAAGAGGCTTCCGGGAAAAGAAATGGGACGGGGTGCAAACACGATATTGAGCAGTTGAGAGAGCAATATTAGTTTTAAGCATTAGCGTCCTAACGGTAGGTAAGGATAAGTACTCACAGTATTCAACCCACTTCTTGTTTTAAATATTTTCCCACAAGTACATATTCCAAACGACCATCATCAATATCATCTGACATGTGAGATTGGGCGATATCGGCCATCATATTGGCCATTATATGTGCCTCATTTCGACCAACAAAGGCCACAGCGCAAGGAGGTATTTTGTGCTGTACCTGATTCTGGAATTGCGCAATAAGGACCCAAATCAAGAGCATGTAGGATGCCATAAACTAAGTATGCAAAATGGATACTTTATTTGGCGTGTGCGTCAAATAGATCGGATGACACTCGAAACACAAGCATGCAAAGGCACCGCAAATATATGATGCTGTTTCTGAAGCTTTTACGTTGATACTACTGCCATTTTGTCCAAAACGGTGCAGCAGGAGCTAGTACGCTTGTTTCATTGAGAGTTCCTTACAGCTTTAAACGAGCGAAATAAACTGAAAGAGAGATTAAGTATGTTTCTTAAAAAAACGAAGCTAAATTATACGACAAAAAAACTTATCTTAAACCTGCGAATGTCTCGTCTCTCAATTTTCCACCACCGCGCATCATTTTAACCTGCTGTAATAACCGCATCTTTTTCATGGGCACATCTAAGGCAAATACAAAAATCATTAGCTTTAATGGCTCTCACTGCATTGATGATGCTGATGGCTTATTGAGGCGGGTTAGTCTACATAATCCTTCACGCCCTGGATCATTTCTCGATTGTGGACATCACCCTTGCGGTAGCTGGAGCACCGATATCAATTTTCACTAACGCCTTTAAATGCTATGAAGGTGCAGTATCATAGGATTACACCACCGCTTGTAATGCACTTGCTTCGAATATCGTTCTTAAAATTTTACTTGAATTCATGATGCTTTTGTTCGATATTTTACTGATACAATGGGGTTACATTATTAAAATACTTTTTTAAAGCTTCGTGACTTTTTAATTTTATTGGAAGCGCGTTTTAAATGTATTGATCGATCACTACTGAATTGGATATTATTACACGCTAAGTCGAAGGTTTAAAGATCGTGAGAAAATGTCGACTAAGTTTGTTCGACCATTTCCAAAAAACTGTATGACACACAAAGCGAGCCCGAATATTTTTAACAATTGGTTAATTTGGACAGCAAATGTTTGAACAAAATTTTTGTTCTTTCCCATAGCGACCAACTACATCGTGTATACTAATAGTTTGTTTCTATGTAGATGAAAAACAGGCAAATTTGAAAATCATCGGATTTCCTCTATTGGGCACAGCAATACTATACCGCATCCATTAGTAAATAGTCAGTGAACGCATTCTCAAAGCTTTCACCCAGACCTTTTATACAAGAGCAATAAAATTAACCTTTGCTGTGTGTCGTTAATCGTGCGCCCAGTGATTTTAGTGCCTCATGCTAGCAAATTCTTCACTAGATGGAAACTTGAAAGCTCTATGCACTGTCATAAGATTGCCTGAGAGGGCGGTATAACATTATGGATACGTTACAGACATAGGAAGCGCTACGCTAGCAGTGAATTTTTTTACCTGAAAGCACACAAATACTATTACATTATTTCACAGGC